TTGCTAGGACTGGATTGTGTGTCCCTTTGCAGCAGGCATATCCTCGCCCATGAAGGGGATTCTTGGGATGGCTGTGATCAAGGAAAGGCCTGGTAATAGAGGGAAGCTGTGGTCATTGCCAGGGTCCAGAGCAGCTGTAGAAGTTTGCAGTTGGAAGATCTCCGCACCAGTGATCCCACTCTTCTGCAGACCCACTCGCATTTAGGACTGGGTCCTGGAGGGGCAGACCCCATCCTCCTTACCACGGCAATGTAGGAGCTTCTCCAAGAGGATATCCACTTGGAGAGTTCCCTCTGAGCTGCACTTACGGGTTGGCGAAGCAGCCCTCAAGTCTCCACGTCCAGTTCGCGGCTCAGGATTCAATGGGGAGCCAGTCTGAAGGGTACAGCAGGGGGCTGGGGGGTGTTATTGGCTCTCTAACTTACTGAGCAGATGGGCTGCTTCATTTGCACCAGTTGGAGCATTTTCAGCACACGGGGCTTCATTCCTGTATATAATGAGCTGCAGGAGCCAAGCCCAGAGGTCATGCATGAGTCGCTGTGGCCAGGCCCGTGCCTGGGTGGCGCGAGTGCTGCTTTCTGTCCACACACAGGGGGGAGGTCAGTGCTATTCTCCCACCGTGACTGTGTGTTATTTGTGACTCCAAAAAGACGTCACATCCATGGATGGATTCAATAGGCACACCGATGTCCTGGATGTAGAGAAATCCAGTTCTTGTGGAGCATTTCACTTCTCCCAAGGGTCCCACCTCAGTCTTACCTTATCCCGCCATAGCCAGCTGCTTTTCATTCATAAACTAATCTTGACTAGTGCCAAGGGAGCTGCAAGAACATGCTGGTTGCTTTCAATAGGAAGGAGGTGTAGGACTGGGTATTTTCTCTGTATCAATGACATTTCAGCATGTGTTGTCCCACCCGCATTGCTAGTGGCTTCATGTAGGTGTCTGGCCATATAAAGAAGAGGGTTGATCTTTGTGGGGCTTCAGAGGTGGATGCACTGGTGTCCATCAGAGCCCTTTGGAGTTTCTCCATCGTGAAGGACCAGAACTATCTAAAGGTATCTCACTTCACCCCCCCACACCTTCCTGGAGGCTGGACACAAGTAGTTGGGTCGCCAAATACTCTGCATCGCAGCAGGAGGAGTGTGGATGGACTGCCCCTTTCTATCATCCCTGGACCATGAGTCTCAGAGCTGTGCCATGACCTGAAGTCCAGGGGAACAGGAGCCAGGACTGGCAGTCGATACAGCAGCAAGCACCAAACAGTGGCAAACAACACATTCAACAAGAAAGCAGGGATAAGAGTGTCCTGTGCATCAGAAACTAAACTACAGCAAAGGGAGTGAGGGTGCAAAACCCTTTGCTATTACATTTGTTACTGACTTGTAGCTCCACTGCCTTAATTCTGTTTCACCCTAGTTTTTAATGTCTGATTTCCTACCAAAGGGAACAACCTCTCTCCCCGACATCTTTCTGATAAATACATCTCTGGTGTCTTAGTGAAGTATATTATTCATTTACCTGCCTCAGTATTAGATCTGTACTTCTGGGAAAGTCTAGGTGCCTGAGACTGGGGGACAGTGTTTATAGAGTCCCTCCTTATGCCTTTCTGAAGTCAACCAGGAGTGCATTTTTGCCTATAAGGTGAAGCCTTGGGATGACCATCCCCTGTCGGTCAAGAAAGAAGTGACTTCTGAGATCCTCCAGGCATTTGTTTAAGATTTCTTGGGCTTCATGGGGATATGAGTGGGCCCAGCAATGAACTAGAATAAAATATACACAGCACCGCCCCAGCTATTTGGCGCTCCCTTTATTACCTGCATGGGCAGCAACACTGGTGAGGCCTCACCTGGAGTACTATGTCCAGTTTTTGGCACCGCTTTTAAAGAAAGGCATGGACACACTGGGAAGAGTCCAGCAGAGAGCAACAAAAATTATTAAAGGCCTGGGAAACATGACTCACAAGAAGTTTGTCTAGGATTGTGTTTTCCGGAGAATTGAAAACTGAGAAGGGACTTGATAACAGTCTTTATAAACATGAAGGGTGGTTATAAAGAGGAAGGTGATAGACTGTTTTCTGGGGCTGCAGGGGATGGGACAAGAAGTAATGCTTTTATATTACAAGAGGGAAGTCTTACATTGGATATTAAGAGCTTCCTCACTATGAAGTTGGTCAGCGCTAGTAAAGCTAGAGAGGCTGTGCAATCTTCATCCTTGGGAGTTTTTAAGAGCAGTTTTTAAGACAAACAGTGAGATGAGGTGGTTTGGACAAAGATGATCCTGCCTTCAGTGGGAGGCTGGACTAGATGTGACCTCCTGAGGGCCCCGCCAGGCTCCTTTTCCATGATTTGGTCTTCTTGGGAGAGACCGGTGAACAACCGGACTTTCCTGTTCTGTGGATTCATCCTTCTGCTCTGCATTCATCCTGGTCAGAGACCCCTACTTCTCCACTCTCTGCTTGACTCCAGCACCAGCCACTTTGACTTAGCCACCATCTTTAATCCCCTTCTGAAGTCCTCCCTGTCCCAGCCCCATGTTCACATCCCTCTTGGTGCTGTGCTCCTGCAATGCAGGAGTGCTTCAGCTGTGCAAGGGGAAGCGGGAAGGGTGATGTGCTGTACTCCTTAGAGGTGCCAGAAATGACTGTCTGTGCAGCCAAGGAGGCCTAGGGCCTTTGAGGATGTCTACATTGGGCTGTGCGGTCCCAGGGCACTGACGGTCCGTTATTGAGGGTGTTGTGCAAAGCACCCAGCAGAGATATGGACTCACCCCCCAAGCTGAAACGCAGGCTCTCCGCAGCCCGCCGCTGCATCCTCCAGGCTGCTGCCGTGTGGAGGTCTCAGGTCATCAGGTCTGTAGAGGCCAGTATATTCACTCCATTTTCACCCATGCCAGCCTGAATCGGCTGCAGCACGTTGTACCAAACCGCGCTCCCCTGCATCGTCACTGTGCGATAAAAGTGGTGCCTACAGCTTTCCTCTCCATCCGTGCAGCTGCCCAAGGAGCTGTGCCTCCAAGGCAGGGTGCATTTCCACTCCTCTACGGTGCTGATCTCCCTGCATACCTGTGCTACCAGGGCAGAGGATGAGGCCATGGAGGTTAGTTCAAGGTGACCACAGAAATATTTGCTTCTCTTTTACCTGGGTCATTAGTGAGGTCATTCTCAGGCCTGTCCCAGCAGGGCATGTTTAATACTGACCAGTGAAACCAGGTGACGTGCGTGTGCAAGCTGTTTCCTTTCCACACCTGGAAGGAAGACAACAGAAAGAGAAGCTTTAACGGAGCCGGGCAGATGAGAGTTAATCGTCGTCTCAAAATGGCGACTGTCCTCCAGTGCTGTTAGAGTCGCCTTCCCTTTACCTTTGTGGGCAGCTTCCTCCTATGATAATGCTCCTCTCTGTGTTTCAGTAAGAGAAGAAATGGTGAAGTTGCTAATAATGGCACTAAAAAGAAAATATGCTACATCTGTTATGGATAGCAGTACAAAATTAGCTGATCACACCTCTGACACCCAAGATGTCTTCACTTAAAATACTCATTGGCTTACTTTACATAATTTGCTGATTATATTTAAAAGAAATACAATTTTGCAATTACTGTTCTTTCTGGTGCGCTATCTATGCATCATTTTCTTTTTATGTTTATATATTTCTCCTTCATTAGTGCAGTCTGAAGGGTGATTAGATCCCTTCAAACATTTTACAGAGGTTAAACGTTGATTAAGATTTAATTATTACTGTAAATAGCTTGGAATGACATATGGTGCAAAAACCTGACATATGTGCATTTGAATAAATGAAGTGCTATTTCCCATGATGCCTCAGTAGCTGTTTAACAGCTTTGCTGAAGGGTTATGTTGCACCTCATGTTAAGATTGCTTTGATGTTATATTTTGTTGGGTTTTTGCAGCTGAAAGCTAAGAACAGTTTTTCCAGTTTTTAAAAACATTGAATATTTTAAATACCTAAATTGTTTTGCACAAATTTTTGCTAATTTGTCTAACTAGGTTAAACATTTTCAAAAGCATTTAGATTTTAACGTGGGTTCTTAGCATTGTGTCAGCTACAGCACTCGTTAAACGTATAGGATTTTTAAAAATATGATACTGGGAGGTGGCCTGTCCTGTGTTCTGGGTGGGATCCTGGCCTAGATCGGACAACAAGAATGCCCCCATCTTTTCCTCCTGATGCAGTGGGTCATACTGTTTTTAGATCCCAGAAAAGTTTTCATCTAAGTCTGACTGGAGCAGCATAAAGGAGAGAAGACAGAACACCGCTGCCTCTGCAAAGCACCACAGAGAGGATCCACGGATGCATTTTGCAAAGACTTTTTAAGACATATTATTTCATCTGTTAGAGCACATGACTGGACTTGGTACTGCCATAGATGTGCATGGTGCTTTGCAAAGAGAAGAACAACTTGGGGTAAAATTGTGGTCTCACTGAAACCATCAACCCTTTGCCACTAAGGCCAGGATTTCACCCATGGTGCTACCCTGAGAATTTAGGGCCCTGATCCTGGCATTAGACCTGCATAGGCAACTTCTTGCTCCTGGAAGAAGCCCCGAGGACCTCACTGGGTCTCAGCAACTCTAGTTGCAGGGTCAAGGACTAGGCAGGGAGGTGGCGTTAATCAAGGCTTAATCAGAGCAAAGCCCTCTGAGATCGGGGGATAGGCATTGCTGGGTGCAGCGTACCATTAGTACTGTTCATTATTGCAGGGCCAAGTAGGTCTGTTGGGCCTGATCCTGATCACAGGCCATTTTACATTGACCTCTGTATGGGTTACATCTGATTAACAGTCAGAGATGAGATCAAAGTTAGGCTCATATACTTCCCTATAGTTACCCCAGATGGATGCCAGTGTCATTGAGATCAGAATAAAGTCAATGCAGTGTATGTTCTTAGCCACTTACGACTTCTGTATATGTATTTTATCACTTTACCTCTTCATATATCAACCTCCCAGCAGTTCTAACCGGGTCTTCTCTTTTATTTGGCAGATTGAGACATCACGACTCGAGCCAGAAATCGCAATGGCCACTACCAGTAAGACTGTTGTCTACAATAAAGGATTGTAAGTGGCAGTGGATCCTCTCTGCATGGAAGATTTGGGGAGGGGAAGGGAAAAACTCGCAATTACTATTGGGGAGGGGAAAAAAGAAAAATCAAACAGCAAACAATAGAACTCAGAGATAGTAACATATTACCACCCTCGAGAACGGGGAGTACATTAACACTTTCAGAGAACTGACACCTCGCATCGGTCGAAAAGATTAATATTAAAAGTTTTAAATTAGCAGCAGGAACAAAAAAAAAAAAATGAGATTCAAACACATTAGAGAACTAGCTGACAAATAATGTTCTGAATTTACAGCGCTGCGTGGAAGGAAGTTTAATGATACATGTGTGCGGTTATGCCTAACTCTGCGTGAAGGTAGACTACACAAGGCAGTTTTGGTTTTAATAAGAATTAAATCTCCACACTGTTGGATGCTGCACAGACATAATTCCATAGAAATCGATCGGTGCATGAATTAGCGCTAGATAGGGTGTCTGATGAGGGTACAGTATTGATTAAATGTCAGTCTTGCACCAAGAATCATAAAGAACGGGGAAAAAAACAATTCTCCGCGTTTAGATTGTAACACTTGGATTTTAATCAAATAGTGCAATGAAGGTCAGAGCCTGTGTCCCCTCCCTCCCTCCCCTGCAAACAACTAGAGTGATTTTTTTGCCATTTCATAGACTTGCAAGAAATTCTGTGAGAGCCAAAGGCATTGGTACAGTCACAGTGTCTTGCCCAAGATAGAAAGATAATGGACAATTGCCCAGTTGCAAAGCACCGGGCAGGAAAGAAATCCTCTAGTGTAAAGAAAACAGATCCATTCTTTTAACTTTGCACAGATCTATAATTAACCAACTTCTGTTCTCATTTACATTGACAAACACGGAGAGTAACTTTCTGTTGGCTGCGGTGAAGTCATGCTGTTAGAAGAACTGAGAGCAGAATACAACCTCGTAATGAAGGGCCCGATCTGGTATAAACGGTCAGAGCCCCATTGGTTTTATTGGAATTCTGCTGATTTACATTGTCTGAGGGTCTGAGTCATAAAGTCAACCCCTTCCTAATCCCTTTTACACCAGAGTAACTGCAGCCAAAGGATGCAGATTTCTGATTGAGGTTATGTCGATTAGAATTTGTCTTGCTTTTGCATTTTATCACTGCAGAAGATGAAAATTAAAAAGATCTTGATCAGAAGCCAGATGCGATAGCGAGGGGCACAATCCAAGTGCATGTATTATGCTAATCTGTTGGGATTTGGGGTTCTTTGGGGGGTGGTGGTGGGTTGTGCAAGGGAAATCCAATTGCCACTGATGTAGAATGTATATAAATGGCAATATATGAAAGTAAGAGACCTAAATCATCAGTGTGTTACTTCCATTTTGTTGTTTGTCTAACTCCTCTCTGGAGTCACACCAGTGTGCAATGGGAGTTACTCAGTCGTGGGTCAAACCCCAGGGGCTGATCCTGCTCCCGTGCTGGGGGTAAAATCAGGGGTAACCACACTGGAATCAGTGGAGTTACACAAAATAAAAACCACTCAAAGTGGGAAGAGACTCTGTCTCTCAGCATTTTGTCCATCCCTAGGGTGGTGAGTACACCAGGTCATGCTCTCTGTTGTGCTAGTGTAAATCCAGAATCATTTCACTCCAATTGATGAAATCATCCTGGATGTACAGCCTGGTAACAGCAGAATGAGACGGCCTCAGTTTCTTCTAATGCACTAGATGATATGAATGTACACCTCACACCAAGTGAGGTAGCCCACGTCTGCTGAGTAACAACCAGGTATAAGGGATTTAGGGAAAAGAGAGACTGGAAGAGTTGTGTTCTGCCAAAGCAGAGGTTTACAATGAATAGCAAGGATAGGCATACAGTGGTGCTAAGAATGGTTGGTGGAGCCGATGTGATGAAGCACATTCCTCCAGGGCACAGGTTTCAAACGGACACATCGGGCCTGTTTCTCCACTTACACTGTTGTATGTGCCATTGTGACTGTCCTGATAAACCTGGGAGAGAAGCAGCTAGAGCCCAGCGCTGTGACGGTGGTGTGCACCTCGTGTGAGTGCATGCAGAAGCATCCCACCGAATTATACACAAGACACACTGGGCTCGGTCTTCAGCTGGGGCACGGTGGTGTAGTGCTCTTGAGATCAGTGGATCTCTGCTGATTTAGCCCCTCTGCTTTAGCCCGATTTGTGCACTCTCGCACTTTGTGTCATCATTCACACCAGCACCCATGCAGGTCAGTCAGAGACTTTCTATTGACTTCTTCAGGCTTAGAGTCAGACCTAAGGCAAGTGCCCAGTTCCTACCAGTTTGGCTTGCTTGCCGTCAACACCCACACTGGTCCGGCATCTAAGATGACACGGGATGATGCAGCCCAGAATCAAGCCCACTGATCCCGACCAGCGTGTAACTGGATCACAGCAGCAAGGAAAGAGAATATAGCCAGGCTTGCCTCTCTAGCTGAACGAGACAGAGAGAGGGCCAGTTTCTGTTAACTGATCGGGTGCCGAAGCGTGATTGTGTTCCACCTCGTTCAAGTCCTGAACATCCATTCATGTATCTGCTTTTGGAACACGCCGTCATCTGGCACTTAAGATTCATTCACAAAAAAGCAGTGCGGAGGAGGAGGAGGGCGCACCCAGCTTTTGTGTTAACTGTACTCAAGCAGGATGGAAGAGTCGCAGTTAAGTGCCTAAGTACTTTACACAGCTAACAGGTGGAATAGAGTCCGGCCCAGGATGTGCAAAGAGGGGAACACAAAAACCCAAGTTGCTGGTGAGCGATACAAACAGAGCTTTGCACAGATGCAGATCACCGCATTAGCACAGCAGAAAATGGGACTTTTCATTGCTGTGTTGATCAGACTCGAGACAAACCCGGTTCCCAGAACTGGCGGACACTAGTGCATGCGTGCGCACATCATGGAGAAAAACCATGTGCCGAATAAACGAAACAGCTAAACTGAGCCTCAAGTTAATCTGAATTTCCTGATGATCCTAAGGAATGTGAAGCCAAGTTGCATCTTACTGTAGAGAGGGCAACCTGCCTTCTTCATTGTTCTGAACTGAAGTGAAAGTCGTGGAAAAAATCAGCCTCTCGTGTTAGCAGTGAGAACTGTCCTGGTTGTGTTTTCTGTCAGCACTGATCATTTTCTGTGCCACAGGGTTTTGTCACCGTTTGAACCATTCTGCTGAAATCCTGCCAAGATCGCTTGTAGGAGGGGTTAACAGTCATCTGAGGCTGGGGAGGGGATGGAAACGAATACCTCTCTTTGCAGTGGTACTGCTGGGGGGAGGTGGGGATGATTTGTTTTTACATCATAATTACTGATCAAAGATTCCAGTAGCTGTGAACTCGAGCTACCTGCGGGGCTGCAGATGGCGTGAGTAATGCTCAACATGCACAGCTAATTGCAATGCACGGTAGAAAAATATTCAAGGATTTGCTCGCTGCATTTTTTGTAGGGAGAGATACCTGAGGAAAGACGAAAACCCAGCAAGTGTTGCATATGTTAAAAGTCAAACTTTGTTTATTTTTCATGAAGGAGGGAGCAGGCTTCAGTTCAGTGCTTCACAGGTACTTAATAGAGGCGTTGCTGAGGATTGCAGTGTTTTAATGGAAAATGGAACTGGACCTTCATCTTAAATTTCAACCAGAGGGCCAATGCTGGTTTCCCACTAGTGTAAGGAATAGATCTGTTGATGTCAAAGGAGTTACACTGTCTGTCTGGCATGAAGGGGGATCAAAATCCAGTGCCAAGCCAGAAGAGTGACAGCAGAAGGGTCAAGAGGGATGTTCCAGATTGATTTTCCTCCACTGAATCAGAGCAGGGGGTCGGACTCGACGATCTAATAGGTCCCTTCCAACCCTAGAAATCTATGAAATCTATGAATCCCTATCAAATGTGCTCAGTTTGCGTGTAAGAAAGTGGGGTCCACACCGGTGCCAGTGAGGCCGTGCTGATTTATGGCTGCGGGAGAGATGACTTGCCCTTGTTCTACCCCTGATTTCTGCAAATGCAGCCTAGGGTCTAAAAGGCCAACCTGTTCTTCTCTCCCACAGGTTACGTCACTGCCGTGGAGTTATCTAATTAGCTGTGCAGTAAACGTCTCAGCGTCTACACATGCAGCCCTATTAGGCAGCAGTAAACTAATACCGCCGTAGGATAGTGCTTGTAAATAAGTCCTAGTGCGCAGCAACACGTGTAGATGCTGATGGGGCTGGCTGGGGCATGAGGATGCTTCAGTGTGGGGGCTAGCCCTGCACCGGAGCACCCTTGTGCCCCAACCAGTTCCTCTGCAGCACACTGAGCCAGGTCTGGGCAGCCCCGGGGCGGCAGGCTGACCCCCAGACCTCCTGCCGGTCAAGGCTGCTGCGACCCAGCTCAGCGTGCTGCGGTTCTGGGCACAGGTTCAAACAGCTGCCTGGGAGCAATAAATTCCAGCGCGATATGCACTGGAGTTTCTTGCTTCAAATTAAATGCACATGTAGACGCACCCAGTGACCCTTTAACACTGATTAAGTACTAGCAATGATCTCTCTTTCCTAAACCTTATTAAAATAAAACACAGACATTTCTTATGTTGTGCTTAACTCAGGAACTTAAACCAGAGAGGAACTGAGCATCTGCTACTCACTCCTATGATTTCTGCTAGAAGTTACAGATCCCACCACCTCTGGATTTGGGCTACGGTGGATATATTTGATTTCAGAAGAAGGAGATAACAATTAGCCTGATCTAAACTTCTCTGATATATTACCTTCCCATTATGTTATACATAGCCACAAAAATATTACGACTGTTTTCTGGAATGGTCCAGGTCCGCTCAGTTATTTAGAGTTCGTCTCCCACTGTAATAGTTACAGCTTAAATGGGAGTTAGGATCTGAACCCCACTGATATGACTGGCTGCCAGCTATCAAACCCTCCGTTTTGGGCAGCAGAGGATGCAGCATGTGAGACATGAAACACACCGTGCTCTCTCGGAGAGGATTTACTTCTCTTCATCCTTCCTTAGTTGTCTGAGATCCTGCTGTCATTACAAGAGTCCTACTGTGTCTTTTTTCTCCAAGGAACACCCTGCCTCGTTCGATGTGAGTGGCAATTATTGTCTGTGAAGGGGAAGTAAACAAGGAAAGAAGAAGAGCAAAGGGCCTGGAGGAAGGCAGCATGCACATGTCCTCTCTAATGCGCTGCATGTACTCTGCGGCAGAATGCAGAGCAGGCAGACGCCTTAGAAATGCAAAGGTGTGACGCCTAGGAAACAATCATAATAGGGGCACCATTACATATGTTATAGGTTTCCTTCAGTTGGACCAAACCAAACCCCTGGATCTGAATACCTTCAGTGGTGAAATATTTATGAAGCCAAAGCTGAACGTGAATTTTGGAACAGAAAGCCATCTCTAGTAGCAGCCTTCCTCGGACTGCAACCGATGTGTGTTATTAGACCTCGAGGTTACCCTCTTGGCTTAGTGCTCAGGTGACCTGGAGTAGCTGCAGAAGTGACTCAACTCAGTCCTACCCAGGAGCCCTCCTCTTTTCTTGCCCTTAAGTTAGCTGGAGGAACAAAGAGTGCTTGATGCCAGGATCCAAACCATCAAGTGATGGCCGTAGAGCGCGGCCACAGGGGCAGTTTCTCACAGAGTTGCGGAGGGGCAGTGCGAGGAGGAGTTTCTCTTAATCCTTGGCAGTAAAAGTTTCCGTGGCTGCTCTCCACGCTTCTAGATTCATGCTCCCATCTTCCTAGCAAAAGTGTTAGCAGCACTGGGCTCTTCCTGAGCAGGTGATAGAAGCAGGTGCTTCTGGAAATCCCACTAAGCGGACGGAAATCATCCAGCTACACAGACAGCACCTGCCAATGTACCTTTTATGCAACAGATTTTCTACTTCCCAGGGATGAAAAGCCAGGTTCACTGCTTCCCTCCCTCCTCCAGGGGTTTTTCATCACCAGAAATACCCGAAGCCACTCAGCACATCTGGTCTGCACTGTTCCAGGTATTATTTGTCCCTGGATGTTGCATTTGTAGCCCTCACCAACAGGCAGGCATGGGGATCTGAGTCAGTGTTGAGTAAGGCAGTTATTATCCAACTGTTCTCTGTAATACCCCCTGCTAGACATTATGGCTAATGAGGGTACTCCTCCCAGCTTGGTAATGAGGAATAGCTCCATTTAGGAAAGGTCTAATGCCTCTGTGGTGACTGGGCTGAACGAGGCACAACATCTGGTCCGTGATGTGGAGACATCTTTAGCAGAGCACTTGGGTCAGCCTCCATCAGCAAAGGCCCAGTATATTCCTTAACATCCATTGCAGAAGTGCCTGGAAGACACCAGCCATCAGAATGGGTCCTCTGCAGGGTGGACAGCAGCACGAGGGGGGAGATTTGGGGCCATCCAAGGAAAAACCCATGCAACCAGCCTGAGGATGTTGGAGATGGATTTGCCCTGTTCTTTTCACCATTGCTGCTCCCAGAGATTCACATCAGGCCCTGGTCACATCCTGATGAGTGGGAGCAGTCACTAGGAAGCCACCAAGACCTCTGAGGGCAGAACTTGGAGCTATGCCCTTCCAACTCCCACGGCAGCTTCTGCACGCTGTGGTCTGCCCCGGGTACACATCTTCCGCTCTTCTTCTTCTTCTCATGTCTTTGTCATAAACTAGATGTTTTCCAGAATCATGCACAAGCGATGGCTCTTTCCATTGCTGCAGCAAGGTCCTTCTTCCTACGGGTCTCACCAAGGAGTCAGCAAATGAGCATGTGCTCCATAGGCAGCACTTCACCGCACTCGCATATATTTGTGTCCTTAGAGCACTCTCATTTGATCATGTTTGTTTTTGCTCTGAGCATTTGCGTGCAGAGGTGATTCAGGCATCACCATGTTGGCCAGTCTAGATCTACCCCTCTTGGCAGGTCCTTCTGGGGTTCCAGGTCGATTTTGCAGCACCTGGTTGCACGTAGTTTTTCCTTCCATAACCTCAGTCACACCCTGTCAGCCGTTGTGTCCAATGGCACAACACTGGTCACAAAACTCATTCATGTTTTAAGCCATGTAGTCACTTATTTGTCATCACAGAATGGATGTCTGGGGTCTTCCATCTGCCGTGATCTTTCTCTTTGGCTCGCTAGCTTTCCTCTGATATCAGGTAGTGCAGTGCAGTGCCAGCCAGTAGGTACAGGCTGTCTTTTGGAGTTGGCTTTAGACATCCTGTTATTTCACGACAGCTGTCGTTGAGAGCTGGGTCTGTTTTCTTGGCATGAACTGATCGTTCCCAGACTGGACATGCATACTTTGGAGTGGAGTAACACAAGGCAATAGCAGTAGTTTGTAACGGAGCTAGGTTCGCTCCCCACTTTGAGGTGACCAACTTTTACAGTAAGGTGTTGCGGGCGCTGACTGTCCCTTTCATCTTCTCTGCATGTGCTTTGAACGGAAGTGTTCAGTCCAGTGTAACTCCCAAGTACGCAGCGTTTGGGTGATTAGTCAGTGGTATTCCAGCCCAGGGGATGTTTAATTTCTGCTTGGCTTTTCTGTGGCATAGGTGAAAAGCTGTGACCTGTGTCTTGGTTGGGTTGGCACGAAGCTGGCTCTTACTGTAGTCATCCGAGAGGTTGCTCAGTGCAGATGTCAGTGGCAAAGTCCTTCTCTTGTGATGTGACGCATAGATCATCAGCATTTATTGAGCTCCTCGTATTACTGTATGGGTTGGTCATTGGTATATATGTTAAAAAGGATCAGTGCTAGCATGCTACCCTATGGAAGGCCGTTTCATTGTCATCTCCAGCGTCTCCGTTCCTTGCACACTTCTACTTAAATATGTCTATTCTCCAAAAGAGATGGGATGAGCTGCACTAGGTGGTAGCTGTGAGTCATACTGTAGACTTGGCAAGTGGGTTTTGTTGGTTGACTGTGTCATATGCTGCCGATAGGTGTACAAATACAGCACCTGTTATCATCCCTTTCGCGAATCTATCTTCTATATGCTGGGTGATGTTTAATATTTGGCTAGGTCAGGACTTGCCTGGTCTAAATCTAGTTTGTTCTGGTGTTAGATGCTGTTCAATGTGAGTGAAAGGTGATGGAGAATAGGGGTGTTGGTTGTAGCTGTGTTGGTCTAAGGACATAAGCAGAAAAAGTTCTTTGGGTAAATCTGATATCTTTTATTAGACCAACTAAATAGTTGGAAAATTGTTTGATTGAGAATAGGGCATTTGTAAAGCAGAAACAGATGCCACAGAAGTGACACTGGCCTATAGTTGTCTGGGCCAGAAGCATCCTTCCCTGGTTTTAAAAGAGGTATCACATGGACTTGTCACCATAACACAGGTATTCTGAATAATTGTTAAAGAGGCGTAATACCCATAACTTAGTTGCAGGACCAACGTGTTTGATCTGCTCCATGCACATGTCATCGAGACCAGCTGCTCTGCCGTTCGTCGAGTGACTTATTCCGGCGTCAAGTTCATCCATCACGAATATTTGCCACTCTGAAGTCAGTTGGTAAAGAGTAAATATACAGGACAGGAGGCAACCTCTCCCTGCAGCAGAGTGGAGGAATGGGCTCGCTGCAGCAGGAGGAACCCTTGCCGTTTGGCTTCATCTTCAGTATCTGTCGTGGCGTGGACTCCCCGTAGACTTGTGCCCACCAGACACCGATGCACGCCCCTCCTCTGATCTTGCTGGATTGACTAGCCATCCTCCCACCGATTGTTAGGAGATGGACAACGTTATACACAGTGAATCCCCAGCCTTCTTGCCTCCTCTTTTTGGGCATTCTCTAACTCATTTTAAAGCAGGTTTCCCATTTGAAATCAATGGTGAGAGCCCCTCAGAAATGGAAAACCTGACTCCCTTTCTACTTAAGTTGGTGTAAACCAGGAGTAGAGCCATTGGAATCGATATTGTGAGAGAGCCTTGCTGTTTTGCCTCTGGGATTTTATGCTGTTCAGAGTAGAAACTGTCTATAAGGTACCAAGTACATAGTAATAGTGATTTGTGTTGCAACAATGCTGTACAGCCCCGGTACGGAGCAGGAAACCATTGTGTCGGGAGCTGTACAAACAGAGCAATGAGAATG